TATTTTCAGTCACCTCATATGCATGTGAGAGCTGGACAATGAATAAGGAAGACCAAAGAAGAGTTGATGCTTTTGAGCTATGGTGCTGGCGAAGAATGCTGAAAGTACCGTGGACTACTAAAAGAACTAACAGGTCTGTCCTGGAGGAAGTGCTGCCAGAATGCTTCTTGGAGGCGAGAATGGCCAGACTTCATCTCACATACTTTGGTCATGTTGTCAGAAGGGACCATTCCTGGAGAAGGATGTCAGGTTTGGTAAGGTGCAGGGTCGACAAAAGAGGGGAAGGCCCTCAACGAGGTGGATTGACACGGCGGCGGTGGCAATTGGCTCAAGTATAGCAAGAATCATGGAGCTGGCTCAGGACCGGGTGGTGTTTTGTTCTGCTGTGCATAGGGTTGCTACGAGTCAGGGACAACTTGATGGCACTTAACAACAACAACAACAACAGTGGATATCCAAAAGGGGGAAAAAATTAAATTGGACTCTACTTCAAGCCATACATAAACATCAAATCCAGGTGGATAAAAGATCTCCATGTGAAAGGCAAAACACCACAGCTTTTTAGAAGATAACATGGGAAAATAACTCTGTGACTTCTGAATAGAAAAAAAATTCGTAAACAAGTCAGTAAATGCATTCATGATAAAGGAAAAGAATGATATATTCAATCAACTGTACTAAAGTTACCGACTGTGCTTCATAAATATACTCCATAAAGAAAATAAAAGATAAACTACAAAGTTAAAGAAGATATTTGCAATAAATGTAACTATATACTCATCTTATTATTGTAATGCCAAGTTGTAAAGGATACGGTCAAAGTATTAGTCCATACAACTACTTTGGTAAACGGTTTGCATTCTTCTGTATGTTGTATTTCACAATAAAAAACATTAAACCAACCAACCATCACCTAAAAATGTGTATCCTCTTGCACATTTTTAAGCTGACAACTAAAAGTTCTCATCCAAGTTTTATTTACTTCAGTAAGAATGTTCATAGCAAGTGGACTGAGAAATTTTTCTGAAAGATCAGCACAAAGCTAGTCCCTATGAGGTGGCGGTTGAAGATGTCCCATGTTCAACTTTTCCAAATTGTCGTACCACTCCATCATCTCTAACATCAATTACTCCTTCTTTCAGTACTCTCCCTTGCATCTTCTGGTTCCATAATTCGCTGCAACATCTTGCCTCATAGAACGCATAAACCGTTAAACCTTCACGGAAATGGCTCTGTGGTCATGGAGGTTGTTGAATCCCCTATCTGTGGGTCAGGCCTCAGCTGGAGGCTTCTCCTGACTTACATGGGCTGATAAACCCAAATAGGCTGGTCAGAAGACAGGCTGCTGGCTCACAAGGCTATGGAAGCTGGTGATTAGGTCAGATGAGAGGATGCTCACTGACATCCCAAGAACTGCAGGTCAGAGGATGAGCTGAATGCAGGATCCAGAGCAAGAGAAAGAACTTTGCCAAAGCATTCATATATATATGGGACACAGAGCATACCCTACTTGAGTGGGGAGGTACAAGAGTGTGCAGGGTGGTGACTGGGGTAAAGGTGATAATTTGAGTCATATCCTCTAGCAAGGTGATGACTCAAGATACATCCTACTCTAATCCTGCCTCAATATAACGGGCAACTCACTCCAAAATGGGACCTTAACATAAGCATGTTGTTGTGTTGTTATGTGCTGTCGAGTCAGACCCCTCTGACTCATAGCAACCTCTCCTTGGGTTTCTGAGGCAGTATCACTATGGAAGTAGACTGCCCAACCTTCCTTCCGAGGAGTGGCTGGTGGGTTTGAACCGCCAGCCTTCTGGTTAGCAGTCAAGTGCCTTAGGCACTACGCCACCAGAGCTTCTAACCACAAGCATAGAGGGTAGATTTACAACACATCACAAGATGGAGGGCTGTGGCTGGAAGGGCCATATTAAGTAATTCAGTGCATTGCACAACCTTATTCAGAACAGCCAAAAACTAGAAACAACCGAAAGGACTAACAATTGAATTGATAAATAGTGTGTTTTATAAATACAATGGAACTCTACTCAGCAATACAAAGGAACAAACGATGATTCTCAAGAACTTTCTTATGCAAAAGAAGCCAGATACAAAGAGTACCTGTGCTGTTTATATCAAGTTCAACAGACAAAACTAATTTACCATGACGGAAATGGAAACATCAGTTTCAGGATGCCAATGGCAGGCTGGGGGACCTACTTGAGATGGGCACAAGGGAACTCTCTGAGTTGATGCAAAAGATGTTAGTTTCTGGTATATTGTAAATATTAACATTTTAAAATAAAACATATCAGTCATAAGTGTATTCAATGAAATATAAATACCATAGTTATTTGATATCTCACTATTATTCATTTAAAAATAAAAAAGATGTGGGTAAGCCCATCTTTTAATATTTTTGATTAAAAAAAAAATGGAGAAATATACATACACTGATGACGAGCTCTGGTAGCGTAGTACCTAAGGCACTTGACTGTTAACCAAAAGGTTGGTGGTTCAAACCAACCAGCCACTCCTCGGAAGAAAGGTTGGGCAATCTACTTCTGTAGTGATACCACCTCAGAAACCCAAGGAGAGGGTCGCTATGAGTCAGTTCTGAATCGACAGCACATAACAACAACAACAACATGCATATACCCATAGCTATATAAAAGGCACTGGAAAGCTAAAGACCTAAATTTTTTCACATCAGACCATGGGTGATTTAAATGGTAACCTTTTGCTTATTTTCCCCCTAACTCTTCTACAACAAAATATGTTGTTTTTACAATTTAAAAGTTACATATCATATATTTAAGGCTTTCTAGGGTGCTGATCATATTTTATTTCTTGACCTTGACAGGGGTAACCCTGTTGGTGTTGTTATGTGCTGCCGAGTCAGAACTGACTCATAGTGAGTTTCCGAGGCAGTATCACTACGGAATAGATTGCCTCATCTTCCTTCCGAGGAGTGACTGGTGGGTTTGAACCACCAGCCCTTTGGTTAGCAGTCAAGTGCCTTAGGCACTACGCTACCAGAGCTCCCAGGGAGTAACCCTAGCCTTTGCTTTATAATTATTTGTTAAAATGCAAATTTATTTAACAAACGTTTCTTCGTTTATACTATTTTTCACAATTTTATAAGTGTTTAATAAGCTGTGTGTATTTATGTTTGAATACCTTATACATAGGCCTGAGCCTCTAGTATAAAAAACCCATTGCCTTCAAGGCCATGCTATCTCAGCGACCCTATAGTGAAGAAGGCTGAAATGGAAGGCTGTGAAGACCTCTCACTGAAAATCACAAAACCTTGACAAGTTAACAGGCATGATTAAAGTAGACTAACTCACTGTTTTTCCCTCTTTTATAATTTTCTTTCAAATACATAGTATAGCCAGCCTTTTTTCCCACAGGCGCTGGGTTCTTTAGATTTGCTATTTCCAATTATGTACTCTTTTAAACATAACTCTCTCCGACTACTAGTTTCAGCTGAGAACTGTAGCATACAAGATAACCCTGAGAAAGGAAACACCGAACCTTGGAGCAACCAAGATAAAAGAGAAACTGAGATGCTCTAGGGGACAGAGAGGCCTGAGGGTGCCCACTCCCATACTCTCCCCGCCCCTCTAGTAGAGTTAATCTCTCTAGGTAGGTGTGGGGAACCTGAAGGGCACTTGTCCTGACCAAGGACGGTTTTTATCACTGACCAGAAAGAGCAGAAAGGCCGCCACGCAACAACTCGTCCCCAAAATAAGTCGGGAACATTATCAGCATCCCTCAAACCCTCCTGGAGTCCCTCAGCCCAATTCCCTTTAAAAACCCTAACAATTCTCCAGCTCGGGGCTCACTGTCTCCTTGGGTCTCAGTACTCAAGGAACCTTTTGCTTTCTCTCTTCAAACTGTTGTGACCACTGGCTCCTCGCTACAGGGAGTAAGGGCCTTGTTTTCCTACAATAGGACTAGAACTGCCCCCATAGAGTTTCCAAGGCTGTATTTTTTTTCTTTCTTTTTTAAATTTTTATTGTGATTTGGGTGAAAGTTTAGAGCAAATTCATTTTCCATAGAGCAGTTCATACACATTTTGTTTCATGACACTTACTACCATTCCCCCCAATGTAACAGCTCTCTTCCCATTTCCTCCCCGTAGTTATCTTTCCCTGTGTTCTCCCCTCCCATGCGCTCTCGATGCGTCCCCCTGTGCTATCTCCCCGTGCAAACACTGCCCTTCTTTTCTCCTAGTGTATCTACCTGATGTAAATGTTCAAAGGCTGTGTTCAAACCATCCACTTTTTTTTTTTTTTTTAAATACCATCAACTTTTTTGTTGGCAGCCAAGCGCTAACTGCGCCACCATGGCTCCTTGTCTCTAGTATACCGGGCCAAACTCACTGCCATCGAGTCCATGTGACTCATAACGACCCCTCCTTGCGTTTCCCAGGCAGTATCTCTGGTAGCGTAGTACCTAAGGCACTTGACTGCTAACCAGAAGGCTGGCGGTTCAAACCCACCAGCCAATCCTCGGAAGGAAGGTTGGGCAATCCTACTTCCATAGTGATACTGCCTCGGAAACCCATGGAGGGGTCGCTATGAGTCGGGCCGACTCGACGGCAAATAACAACAACAACAAATCTCTGTGGAAGTAGATTGCCCAATCTTCCTACCGAGGAGGGGCTTGTGAGTTTGAACCCCCAGCCTTCTAGTTAGAAGTCAAATGCCTTAGGCACTACTGCCACCAGAGCTCCCTCCCTGTCTCTCTAGTAAAGCAGTCTGTAAATATACGGCAAAAGTTACCACTGGACTGCAAAACCCGGTTCTCTTCACAAGCTGGACGGCGCAGACTCCGAGTCCCAGCAGGCATTGCGGCAGCACACCGGGAACTACGGAGTCCGAGAGGGGGCCTCGGGGCTCCACATTCCTTTCCCTCCCAAAAGCCCGCGGGCGGCTCGGGGCACCGTTCACATCATGGCCGCCGGCGCCGGGGCGACAGGCCTTGCTTCCGGATCGGGCGTCGTGCGTGACCCATCGGCGTCACAGCCGAGGAAGCGGTCCGGCGGCGAGGGCGCGCGGCGATCGGACACGATGGCGGGAGGAGGCGGGAGCAGCGACGGCAACGGGCGATCATCAGGCCGACGGGCATCCCGCAGCGGCGGGCGGGCCCGACGGGGGCGCCACGAGCTGGGGCTGGGGGGCGCCGCGGAGCGGGGCGCGGGGGAGGCGAGGCTGGAGGCGGCGGTCAACCGCTGGGTGCTCAAGTTCTACTTCCACGAGGCTTTGCGGGCCTTTCGGGGTAGCCGGTACGGGGACTTCAGGCAGATCCGGGACATCATGCAGGGTGAGGGCCGGCCGGCGGAAGGGGGTTGGAGTGTGGGGGAAGGGAATCAGTGAGGACTGGGTGTCGGTGCTGGGGGTCGCCGAGCCAACGATGTCTTCTTTCCCAGCTTTGCTTGTGAGGCCCTTGGGGAAGGAGCATACGGTGTCCCGGCTGCTGCGGGTTATGCAGTGTCTGTCGCGCATTGAAGAAGGGGAAAATTTAGGTATGGCTGTTTTCGTGTTGTTCTCTGGGTTTACTTAACGTAGGGTTATGTTGTTGTTTTCAAACTTCCATCCGGCATTGAAGGATTCCGGGTTAACGTGTGCTACTGAGGTTTCCATCACAGTGGTCTTTTTCATTCTACGACGAGTCTGCCCTCTGGCTCTACTTTTCTTCAGTTACGGTTTTCTTGGTTGCTTTTGTTTTATTTTCTCCCACCTGTTTCTTGCTTGCCACAGCTGTTTTGTTGTATCAAAGATGAATTATGTTAAGGTGGATATTTTTTCCCCAATGGGAAACTGTTTACCAGTGTCTGAGCACATCTTAATTTCTGAATTCAACTGGACAGCTGTTTAGCAAACTGTCTTCAGTTTCTGGCCAGTTGGACCTGAGGAGGATGTGCGTATCCTGAAATTTGAGAGGCAAATGCATATGCTACAATGTAATCTTATTTTTTAACTGTGTTAAAAGATGGTCACTTTACATTCATTGATTTCATTCATTGCATTATCTTCTCCCCTATTTTTCTCAACAGTTTATCCATGTGTGTAAGGCTTTTGCTATATGTCAGCAAATTGAATGCAAATCTTGAATTTGCATATATATATTTATTTATTTTTGACATAACTTTTTCCTTCCTTAAAAAATTGCTTAAAGTGAAAACTGCTCTTTGTCCTAGACTGTTCCTTTGATATGGAGGCTGAGCTCACACCCCTGGAATCAGCTATTAATGTGCTGGAGATGATTAAAACGGAATTTACACTGACAGAGGCAGTGATCGAATCCAGTAGAAAACTGGTCAAGGAGGCTGTAAGGATCTGTTTTTTATTTATTTTTGTTTTGACAAAAATTGGAGATCTTTGAGGATATAAGTGCTTAATCTTTTCTGTGTAGGGTGGAGGGAAAGCAGGGATGATTCTGTACATTCTGTCTCTGAGTACACATGCATATGGATGTTATCTCTTCAGGCATCCTCGACCTCCACACCTGAAAAGCACCATTAATGTCATATGCTCTCCTTTTGACATTTTGGTGTCTTCCATGTGGCTTTAGCAAGAGGAGCTACAGTATACAGGAAATGGGTTGGCATTTGAGAGGTTATTGCACTGGTCAAGAGCACTATGAAAGGGTACAAGTAGCTGAGCCTTGGGTTTGGTTATCCTTGTTTAAGTAAACCAAGGTGGATAGCTGGGACCTTGAGAAATGGCCTGACTTTGTGCTATTGTTCCCTACAACTGTTTACAGAAAGAGAGGCCTAGGGAATATTCTTTCTGAGGAGAGAGATTAGAATCAGAGGTACTGGCATAATCAACCAGCTAGAAACGGAGATCCGCACAGCAGTATTCTTGAAACCAAGAAAAAAGCTAGCATAGGACTTGGGGACTGTCACTGTGTCATGGCCCAGGTGGCTTCAGGTAGTAGAGCTCATTTTCATCTATAGCATAGAGGTGACCATGGGGACTAGCCAGGAGGTGGAGATCATGGGGGGCCATCTTAGAAGCTGACTGCTGGAGTTACCTGATCTCCTAGTAATTAAATGATACTTCATTACTTGTCTCTTCAATTTATTTTTTTCAGTTTCTCATTTAGAGTCATAGACTCTATTAATGTTCATCTTTGGAACAATGACATGGATGCTCAGGCTCAATGAGGCTTTTTAATGCATTGAAACTTTGTAAAGATCACTGTTTGAAGTTTATGACTTTTTTTTTTTTTTAAGTATTAAATAAGTTATATGTTAAGCTGGAAGTTCTCAGTTTACGGTCTGGGGATCTGTGGAGGTGTCTGGGACCCATTCTGGGGATCCATGAGGTCAGATCTATTTACATAACAATATTAAAAACAGTGGCCTTTTTACCACCCTGACATTGCACTGATGGTGCTAATGCCCTGTCATGGGTAAAACTGCTGGTGTTTTAGCACAATCAAGGCCATGACCAGTTGTACTAGCAGTCTTTCTATTTTTCATTGCCACACACTTGCAAGATTAGAAAATGCTAGTTTCAATTAAGAATCTCTTTGATGAAGCAGTACAAACGAATACTTGTATTAAGTCTAGATCCACGGCTAAACATCTCGTTAGGATTTTGTATGGTGAACTAGGAAGCGCTCATAAAGCATTGCTGCTGCTTATCAAACTATGGTTGTCTTGAGCACTTGTGGGATTGTTTGAGTTCTTATTCACCTAGCTGGAATTTTTTTATGGAACAGTTTTTATTTGAAAGAACAACTGATGAACTATGATTATTCAGAGTTGGGTTATTGGCAGGCATTTTCTTGAAAATGTGCAAAGTGAATCTATGCCTTCTAGGAAAACAATCAGTATTTGTTGCCAATGATAAAATTCCAACTTTTTAATGAAAACTGTAATTTTGGGAAACTTGTATTCATGAGCTTGATAGCTTCCTAGTACTTATACTTTCCTGATGAGATCAGTTGTGATTATTAACAAATGTGATTTTAAAAATATTTTTAATGGCTGTATCAACATTTGGAAGATCTAAATAAGTCAGTCAACCAGTATTTTCTAAATGTTCGTTGCACACTATTAACAAAACCAGTCATGGGTAAGTGCAAGATAGACTATTGAGACTAATGAATTTTAATGTTTAACAGTATGAGAAGTTCACTTGTGAAACTTTGGTGTAGAATCAAAGAAGAAAACGCATCATTTTCTGAAAATGCTATCTTCATATCTGTTTGGGGCCAGATTTTTTTTTTTAATACTTCAACCAAAACAATATATTACAGCAGAATGAATGCAGAAGCAGATATGAGAATCCAGCTGTCTTCTATTAAACCAGATATTAAAGAGATTTGTAAAAAATGTAAAACAGTGCCATCCTTCTCATTAAACTTTTGTTTTAGAAAGTAGTTACTTTATATAAAAATGTTATTTATGTTAACATTAATGAATTTTATTGTTATCTTTTAATGAATTAATAAATATTTAAACATTTTCTCAGTTTTATATTTCTAATAACAGTGAATATCAACAGATATATAACCTACACAAACAAAGCTTTTTGGGGTCCTCATTAACATTTAAAACTATCAAGAAATCTTGAGACCAAAAAGTTTGAGAACTGCTTCTGCAAGATTTTAGATATATTGAGACTACATTGGTTTTCTCTTCATAACTAAAATATTCCCAAGGTAGATTTCTTTGGAAATTAGGGAAGGCAACATGTATGACATGATCCTGGAGAAGCATTTATTTTTTTCTGTGTAACATTTTCCCTTGCACACCTTTGTTTTGTTTGTTTCTCCTTCTTTTCTTTTTCCCTTTTTATTATGATTTGGATGAAAGTTTATATAACAATGATTTTCCATTCAACAGTTCATACATTTGATTCATCATATTCGTTGCTTTCCCTACAAGGTAACAGCACTCTTCCCATTTCTCCCTCTTTTACTATTTCCATTCATCCTTTCCTATCTGCACTTTATACTTGGGCACATGCTGCCCTTTTGATCTCTCGTGGTTGTCCTTTGCATCTCTTCTGATAACAGCTTGATTTTCTTTTGTGGCCTTGCCCCATTATTTGATCTTGGTGAACCTATAAATCAAGGGACTCTGTTCCTCAGACAAACTCTCTTAGGACTTTAATTTTTAAAACAAAAAGCTTTGTCAAGACTTAGTGAACATTCCTACTTCCCAGAATGTACTAGTTTCTTTTTGTGTCTGCTGCTTAAAACTTTTCTTTAGTTCTATGAGTTTTAGTTTTCTTTTCTTTTGTTAATATGTCTTTTCTGGCATTTTCCCTGAACTTTCACACCAATATTGGAAAACTATGCTTAGAATTTTCCTTTTGTTTAAATTAGCCAGAAACCATTGCTGTTGCTTATAGTCTATGAAACCCTAACAGATAATAGTAAGAGAAGAAACTGCTTATTTTTGAAAACTGCCAAGTGAAAATGCAGAGGTTCATCTCTTTTATGCCCAGGTTGGACTCAGGTGTAAACAGAGCTTCAAGAGAAACCTTCTGGTCTGAGAAGCAGGAAAGAGACTTCCTAGAGGAGGTCAAAGAGGGTGAAAGAAATCCCTAGGTTTCTAAATCTGGAAGCTGTGATTCCTGAGAACTTGGGGGGAATCACTCTTGCTTATTTTGCTCTGTCCTCTTGCTACCGGACTGTGGATGCAGGTGCAATTGTGGAAGTACATGGCTGAGTGGGGACATTAAAGCCCTGGAATGCAAGTCTGGTTCAATGAAAATCGATCACTGTTAAAAAAGGAAAACCATATGACCATATCAATTGACACAGAAAAGTCTTTGAAAGAATTCAGCATTAGTTTATGGTAAAAGGCACTGAGCAAGCTAACAACAGAAGGGAGATTCCTCAACTTGATAAATGTTATCTAAGAAAACCTACAACTTACATCATATATAAGGGTAAAAAATGGAATGCTTTGATCCTAAGATTGTAAACAATGCAAGGAAGTCCATTTCATCACATTACTCAGCATGATACCAGGAGGACTAGCTAGTGCAATAAGGCAAGAAAAAGAAAAGGCATTACAGATTGCAAAAAAGAAGGAATAAAATTGCAGATGACATAATAGTCAATATAGATTATCTCATAGAATATACAAAAGTTACAGGCTTATCAAAGTTGCAGGATACAAGATCAACATGCAAATATCAATTGTATTTCCATATACTAGCAATGAACAATTTGAAATTAAATCACCAAAACAATGCCATTTACTCCAAAAAGAAAAGGAAGAAAAAGAAATACTTAAGTATAAGTCTTGCAAAACATGCAGGATCTGTATGTGGAAAAATATAAAAATGCTAATGAATGAAATCAAGACTGAATAAATGTAAAGGCACCCTATGTTCATGGTCCAGAAAACTTAATATAGCTAAGACATCAATTCTCTCCAATTGATATCCTAACAATACAATTCTAGTCCTAATCCTAACAGGGTTTTCTTTAGGTACAGACTGAAAAAAGAAAAAAACCCAAACTCATGCTGTTGAGTCCATTGTGACTCACAGCGACCCCTCCTTGAGTGATTCTAAAATTTACGTGAGGAGGCAGAGGACCAAGAATAAACATTTTGAAAAACAGATCAAAGTGGAGGACTCACAGTACCGAATTTTAAGAATTACTGTATAACTACAAGTCTGATGTGGTACTGGTGAACAGATAGACATATAGATGGTGGAGCAGGAAAGAGTCTAAAAAAGACATACACAAATATGACTAACTGATTTTTAACAAAGATTCAAAGACAATGAGAAAAAAATTACTCAGTGGAACAAGGACAATCTTTTCACAAACAGCGTTGAAACAACTGGATGTCCATATGCAAAAAAGTGAACCTTGACTTGAAACACATATAAAAATTATCTCAAAATGGATCACAATCTAAATATAAAATAATAAAACTTTTAGAAGAATACATACAATTTTCATGACTTCAGACTAGGCAAACTGTGTTTAGATATGACAAAAGCAATGATGCATTAAAAAAAAATCGATCAACTGGACTTCATCAACATTTAACATTTTTGCTCTGAGAAAGGAGTTGTTAAATAAAAAGCTGCAGCCTGGGAATAGACATTTGCAAATGACATATCTGAGAAAGGACTTGTATCCAAAATATATAAAGAACATTCAAAAGGAAAAAAGCCATTCTATAAAACCCATTATAAAATGGGCAAAAGACTCAACAAAGAGATATATGACAAATAAGCATTATGAAAAATGTTCAATATCATTTATCCATTGTTGTTGTTGTTATGTGCCATCGAGTGGGACCCGACTCATAGTGTACCCTCCTTGGGTTTCTGAGGTAGTTA